TTTTCTGGAAAAACAATAGACTGCCCCCGCACTTTATACTGTTTAAAAGCAGTTTCAGCTTGCACATGTACACAGGACATAAGACCACCTCGTGTGTCTGGTTCCGAGATGTAGATGTATAATGCAGAAATGACGTCATCTCAAAAATAGTACTCGACTAAATGTATAAGGAACTAGACAGACTCCTTTACTGTACATATTACTCAAAGGTATCCCACCAGGAACACGTTAAATTACGCAGTAGCAAGATTCTGGTCCATTTTAGCAAGTAAGCAGCTTTTGGATAATGTTTTGTAAAAAAACACTTTTTTGATTTTAAAGACGAAAGGTCTACGGTGACGCGCGCGCTGACGACAAATCGGGTACTTTTTTACCTTTAGTCCAAGTGTATTTCTTACCTGACCTTTATGTCAATGTGCATGTCCATCCCATTTAAACAAAGTTTGATATTATCACATATGAAGAGGACATTTAAAGCAGTCTAACACCAAATATAACCACTTTTGGCGCCAATTAGTCTGAACAGAGGCAGTAGATTAAAGGAACCAGAAAAAAGAAATATTCTTATAAGCTTCACTAAAAACCCTTGAAATTGCATCTTTTGGTTTCAATTAACCTTCTTTTAATTTCTGTTTTGCAATTTTAACCCATATTTTGATGCTTTTTGGGGTTTTATGTTTTTGCATATTTGCATATTCATGAGCAGAACTATGATGTTATCCAAGGCTCTGAATCTCAATGTTGCACTGATTTGTGCACAGAAAATGTCTAGATGTTTTTAAACTTTTCTATGGAAAATTTTAGTTTCTTTGGCAATTTTTCGTTGTGTAAGTATAAGGCAATAATCCAGCAAAAGTCCTTTTCCCAGAAATGTTCCCAAATAGCAAATTTGGGATTCACAATTTGAACATGAAAACATGCGACCTGAACCATGTCTTCCTGGATTTGAATCAAAGCAAAAGCTCCCTTAATTGTCCAGAAAAGCCTGGTCAATCTTTAATTTTGAAAAAGTACACTGTTCAGTTCATGTAACTCAACATGTCAAACAGTCTTCATACATTGAAAAAGAGTACCGAGATACACAAAAAGTGATTCTAAGAAAAATTCTTTTCCTGGTTCCTTTAAATTTATGTAAACTTTGTTAGCTCTTACTTTTAACTTTACACTAACAAAAATATGTAAAGCATCTTTCACTTTTGTTGTGAATAACTTATGTAATTTACTTTTATGTGTAAACTGTTACATATTGACAAGTGAAGTTTCACTTTAAAATTGCTTTGTAATAAAAATTGTACGAGTTTTTGGTATTCTAAGAACTTGACTGAGGGGATTTTATTTAGGTCACTTACGGGGTGATAAACGGTTTCAAACTCGTACGCTTAAATATGGCACAGGAAGTTAGGACGACTCGGACAAAAGACTAGTTTAATGGTGGCATTCATTATTAGTACCAGGCCCTCTACCGCCGTTCCTATTCGTAAGTATCTTTTTGCCCCATCAACATTGAAACTTTATGACTGTGCACAATTTGGTCAATCAATTTTACCTCATGTTGAATGAAATATGGCCAGCCTCATGGCCAGCCTCATGGCCAGCGTATTTTTCCCCAAACGAGATCCCACAGTTTCGAAAGAGCGTCTGTGCTTAGGCCTATGCATTATTAATAAATCTGTCCCTGGCGTCAATCAAGGAGTGGTAAGGTATAAAGGTTTTAAATTCACCGGAGCTGGCAGCCAATGTGTGGGTTGCTTTGAAGTACTCCCGACCCGGAATCCTCCGTCTCAGGATCGAATCCTCTCTCTCTCGTTTTACAATTCTTTTTTTTTATTTTGTATGTAAAAGTAAGAAAGGAACATTCTCCCCATAAGTTTGGTTTTCGAGTTCTAGAACCATGCATTAAATATGCATGTAACAGATCAATCACAAGACAGGAAACCAAAACCTTTTGGGAAAACAAATTCACTCAAACAAGGCCCTTGCTAAGCATTCCACATTTTGCAGAACCCGGGAAAGGCCGGTGTGTGGGATTTCGTGCTTTGACAATACGGGTGATTCACAGAATACGCCTATAAGAGTTTGCAACGCGTTGGCCAGTCATAATGCGCGAAATCTGTCGACCAATTCCAAACGCGCGTTTGGGTCGACGTATTTCGCGCATTGCGATTGTGAGGAGATCCAGCGCTGATAAAGAAACCAAACAACTCTCAAAGGAATGACTTTGGGGAGTTTCCTTGTTACCCACCATGAGTTCCTCATAACACAGGCTGCATATAACGAATTCAAAGGGTTCTTTGAAATTACTTGGGCTGCGGATTCCTTTGTAGTCGATTTGGTAGCAACATTGGATACAGCAGCGTATCCATCTTTTGGGGTAGGGGAGCGGGATTGGTCAAGTCAAAAACAAATGTGTCTTAGGGATCGTTTAACATATTAGTGGTAGAGAATAAACATCAAAAGCCTTACTGGTCGTCTCAACATCGTTGCTTTATTGTCATGGTATTGTTTTCTCAGGGTTTTGGTGTTGATATTGTAAGTAAAACTTACTGATATCTGTTCTGGGAATTGTCCCAAAGCTCTCAATTGTTCTTTTAATTCCAAGTCTACCATCGTTAGTGTCCCCCCCGGCTACTGCACGCACCCTAAAAAGTTGGGAATCCGTAGTGGGCAACTCGAAAACATCGTGAGTGAGTGTCTTGAGAATGGGATTTCCCAGTACGCATAGCTCGTCCCGTCGAAGGGTTGTGTTGCAAGGTCAACCCAGTCAGTCCAATGTGAATACAATAGACGAGGGTCTTAAAATGGATTATACACACGCTGCGCATCAGTTCGGGGCTGGCATTAACAAGAGGGACTTAGCACTTTAACAATACTTCTGTGGCAAAGAAAGTCTGTTAGAAACATCAATAAATCGAAGGGGTAACACGTTAAGAAACTATAAGGTTGGAAAAAAGGCATTAGCATTCGTAGCTATGGCTGTGTTTCTTCGGATGTACCGGAGACTATGTTTTGTTACGAAATTATGTAGAAAACCGTACTTTTGCTGCATATTTGATAACTCACGTCTATATTCATTTGACTAATAAAAGACGCCAGGCTTATTTTGGATGGACCAAGTCATGGAAACGTATAAATTTTTCGGGGGCACGTCTCGGAAAATCGGCTCTGCGCGAGAATGGTAGGTTCAATTTTTACAAATGCGGTGTCATAATAACCGCAAAGAGGACCAGCAAAGTTCCTAAGAAGAAACCTTGGACATGTTTACGCTAAAACGCTTGACTGCGTTCGTTTACAACACCTTGAAATCGCATGAGATCTCAACAGAGTTGCTATAAGTGGCAGGAAGATTTATATGCATTCAATTTCTTTTAGTTCTGGATTGCTATTCGTTGTTTGGAAGTGTAAATCTGAAATTTGGGCGGAAGATTGAACTGGCATTTTTATTTCATTTCCTGTACATCTAAATCTTTCGCTTGCTTGCAGTTTTTGAATGATATATATCACATATTTGTTGCATTATGAAACAGCACAGGTTGGCTCAGAGTCACGGGAAAGTCAACTTTCTTTACTCTCAATTAGATGTATAAGTCAGGAAGTACTTTCATCGGCGTAGGTGACATTTGCGGGCGGTATTATTATAAATACCTGGGACGCTATTCAGCTATTCTATTTTTTTAAAGCACAGGCTGTACACCACGTTATGCATTAGGCGCCACGCAGGTTGCGTTGTTCAGGTTGTATGATAATACCGCCAACAAGTGTGCAGTCGGGTGCCCAGAACTTTGCCTCAGCTTGTGTAGGCTCTCTGACGAGGGCTTGCAATCCCATTTGAGTCTCAAATCAGACGTGGGTGATGGGACCGCCTGGGGTGACGGTCGACATACCAGGAGTTTACCGCGCCTGCGTGCTAAGGCTGAAGGACGAGGTATCCTTGTCGGAGGTCGTGACCGGTGGTCTGGTCGAGAAATCGCCCAAGATGACCGTCGAACTCTGTCTGAGAAAATTCATTGCTGAGGTGAGTCAAGCGTCCCCATGAAAAAATAAATGGTGTCAATACTGGGGCATGAGGCACTTGCTTTCCAGCGGAAGTTCATACCCCTGGGTCCCCCCCCGTTTGAAATTTGAAAATATACATAACCCAATAGAGCCAAGACTCCATTTGCTTTTGAGGCCCGTGAAACAAACTGTGTACCCCGTGCTCCATGTTATTTCGTCCCAATGGGAGACTTTGAGACGCTTGCTGGCGGCAGACATACCGGTCCCTTTTTACCATTTCTGAGCATGCGCACGTTGTTTTGAGCATTCTTGCTTAGATCTGAGCGCGTGCAATACTGTACAAGAGACCGGTCTGTTTGCTGCAATCAGCATCTCAAAGTCTCCCATTACGCCCAGAATTGAACTAAATATAATTGGGCTTATCAGGAGATATCAATGATTGTGTTATCAATTTACACTAGATTTATTACAAGACAAGGGAAAGCATGATAAACCCTCAATGTCACGGTACTGCTATGAATTTGGTTGTGGTTAATTTGCATATATATCTCTTAATTTGAGGTGTTTAAGGCTTTGGATTTCTTTCTTCCTGGTTTTGGTCCACTCGTACAGCTGCAAATCCTCAGTCAGTGCTATTCTATTTTAGAAGTCACGGTCCCTCGAGTAATGCCCTAGCCTTCAAACTAGCGTCATTTCTGTTGGCCCTACCAGTTTAATTTCTAATACGTTAAAGCCGTCATAATAGACCACGTATTCCACATACGCATTCAATCAAGCTCAGGCAAGTTACTTCAAAGAGCGGATGGGGGGAGGCAACGGGGCCATGTCCCCTAAAAAGGAGCAATTTAAAGAGACAGAGAGCGAGAGAGAAGATTTTGTAAAGGCCAGTAACTGTTCACTCACTCTTCCTTCTGAAAGCGTGTACAGGGCCCCAAAATGTAGCCTCATCCTTCAAAGAGAACAAGTGGTTACTTAAACAAATTCAAGACAGGGTGGGAACACACCCTAAAAGTTGATTCATACTTACTTCCGGGCAACGCAAAAGTGAAACAAATTCGATGTCAATGAACATTCGCTGCGACATTCACTTGTTGAAATGTGTCCAACTTTTGCAATTTCGCTATGAAACTATTTGTGTGACGTCACAGACTGACATTCGTGTTTGTTTGTTTGTTTGTTTGTTTGTTTGTTTTCAACCCAGCTGCAAAAGCGACTTAAATAATCGTCCGTCTCGTCTCATGTGGGATATTAAGTATGCCGCCCCCAGCCGGGGCATGGAGTGTTCCTGCTTAACTACACGGAGAGCGCCAACTGCAACATCTCCTGTCCAGGGCGGTCCCAGCAAGGCTGTGGAGGATGGGAGTACATGTCCCTGTACAGAACATCCATACCAGGTGCTGATACCTTTGCACCTGTCGTGTTTAATGCATATTTTCATGGGTCCTTGTGAGAATTGTGCTCACTTTTTGTTGACACTATTCGATTGTCTTTATGAACTTATTCCATATGAATATTGCCTGACATCGTTTTTTGGGTCAGGAGTATGGAAAGGTGTACATTTTTAATTATTTCAACTTGGCCAAGTTTTTATTCATTTTCTCGGATATACTTCTGCTCCCAAAATTTGCTCATTCAAAACATCACTAAGGAAAGGATTCCTCATTGGCAACGCCATTCAATATAAGATTCAGCACTCAGCCCCCTCACTCATAGTGGCAGAAAACATCTCTAATTCAGGATGGCATTTTTTTGGAAAGGAGGATCCCAAAGGTGTAAAAATGTCTTGCAAAGGGGACACTTAAAGCGCTTCCGTAAATGTCAATCTTCATTTGAGGTTTCAAAAGGTGTGGGTGCTGAATCTTATATCATGTCACGATCTACAGACGCAAGGTGTCCAGACGTGAAGCTTAATCCTGTCAGCAGCCTGCCGCAGGTTGCACTGGCCAGCTACCCTCGCTCTGGACTCTCCTGGACGCGGCACCTCACTGAGAGGGCGACGGGGTTCCTGACTGGAACAGTCCACCCACGTGAATAACTGTTCTCGTTTTTTTTGTTTTTTGATAAAGGTAAGCCATTCTTGACGTATTTATGTTTTACATAACTTTTAACTTTTGGATTGTTTACGAACGTAGCATCGTAAGTCAAACCATTTCTTGACGCTCTTCTGACATTTTGGAATTCTGTTTACATTGTATAATTCAGCAGCAAGAATTGTGGATACTGTGCTGTCTTCGATTTTTCTCTGCAGTTGTTTTCATACATGATATTATGAACGTGAACAAAGTTTCATCAGAACTTGTTTGTATGAGAAAATGTAAATATAAGCAGTAAAAATCTCTACACAGAACAACAGCGCCTTCAAATTGTCACAGAAAGTGTGGACAATTCCAAACACTAACCAAAAAGGGATATCAAACATCGCTGTAAAACGCTGGCCAATTTTCGCCAGACGTTGGGTACCAGGTGAATCGCCTAAGTGTTGGACAAGCAGATTGCCCAACCGCGTTGATTCTCTCCTTAAATATGGGAAACTTGTCTCATTTTACCCAACGGTTGTAGGAGAATGTTAACTGTGTAACCACTTTTTACCCTGCATTTTGACATTTCTCCCAACAGTTAAGCGATTCACGTGGTACCCAACGTTGGGGAAAAATTGCTCAGCGTTTTTATAGAGCAGTTTTAATACTAACTTCTTAAGAGGAGTAGGAAAGTGCAATAATGGCTTCAGAGTTAAGTTCACGTCCGTTTCAAATGGTCATTAAGCTTTGAATTCGATGATATTGGTAGCCATGATACCATGCACATCTGTGGGCGATTGATCATTTTGCAGGCTTTCCTGTGGTAAGAATGGACTATCGTCGCAACCAGACGGTATGCGTCAAGAGCCACTTTTACACCCTGTCCACATACAGTCGTTCGAGCGCACCATTTTGCTCGTGAGGAACCCTTACCACTCTATTGTCTCCGAGATATTCCGGATACACACGGCGGAAACCAACGGAACTGTAAACGATTCACTGAAGTTCATCCGCTCAAAAGGTAATCCGACCAATAATGGCATAACAGCATTTTTATACCAAAAAGAGAAAAGCAATAAAAAAGAGCGGAGACTAACGTTGGAATACCCCTTTATTTATAACTAATGTTTTACAACCTGCCATTCCAAGGTAGACCTTTAATTTGCCAGGCATCAATGAAATGTTTGATGCATTTCTTAGAGTGGACTCCACCCCTTCCAGAAGGGGGGTCATCCAAGACCTTGGACGCTCAGAACGTAATAGTCCTTTTCACTAATACCTTCCAAATTATGCGCCCTTGCGCACAAATGGCCTTGGCCGCAAGGGCATTGAAAATGTACAGGGCTGTGATTTTGATCGTTTTCTCTCATGTTTTCTGGCTTTCTTCATTTTTTTTTCTACAGAAAATCCAATTAAACCGTTTTTGCTATTAGTTTTCTTCCATACGTTAGCGTCGACTAGTCTCGGAACTATGCTCAGGATCGCTACAAAATGGTTTTGCGGGGAACGTGGAGCTTTCTATGTAGGGACGAAGGTAAGGTCACAGAAACAACTCGACAGAAGGTGGGAAAGTTCATGTAATGGACAGCGCTCAATTTTTTCAGTTTAGCAGGTACGTATGTTCATGCCCCTCACTTAGTTTGTGCGCATGCGTGCTGAATCCCACCACAGCCAGAAGCTAGTAAAATGGCTCTTGACTCAGGTGGACCCCAAAAGTAATCTATCAACACCAAGCTCATTTCCATACCGAATACAATTTAAACACTCAAAATCCCCTTTGCTAACTTGCACACGATAAAAAGCCATTTTCTGCCAAATTTTTGTCCGTCTTTCTTACATACTCCAAAGTAACAGAGTCAGAAGTTGTCAGTGAAGCCAACATTTTAGAGGGGATTGTTTTTCAGTTTTGCCGAGTTTTCCCTGACATTTCTCTACTTGTAACTAGTGAGGAATATCATGAACGCCCCTAAGTATCATGCAAGAAGGAAACTGTATGGAAGAGAACGGAAAGTTTTTGTTTGGGCCTTATAGTCGGGCAACTTGACGTCGTTGTAGATATTAGTCCAATACAGTAAAGTCAACTCATACCAAAACGCACACTGTATCCGAGGGTGTGTGCAGGCGTGGCATAGTGTGGACCTCTGCACAAAAGAAGTCCACTTAATGGACATTGTGCGAACTCGCACACGTTTTCCCCTCTCTGAAAAAAACAGTTTCAGAGGCATTTTGGGGTCAAGATTATCCATTGCAAAATGAAGATGAACAGTTAAGGAAATCATCATCAAAAATCCAGCTCGAAGGAGTTATCCTAGAGAGAGAAAAGGGAGAAAACACGGAAAATGACGAAAATGGGTTCCAATGAAAAACGAAGTGAAGTTTCAAAAGGGTTACTAGTCTTTCTTATGGCATTCGATTTAATCCAGGTAAAATGATGAAAACTAGTCACAAAGTTAGCTGGAAAAAAAACAAAATTTTTCATAATTATCCTTTTTCGTAAAATTGACATTTCCACTTCTCTGACAATTTCCGCAGATCTTTCTTATCAGAAGCTATTATATATCACCGTTTGATTGGTTCTGGGCAATTAAGGTCTTCAAGGCAAATGGCAGGACAAATCCCTCACCGATATGTGTCGTCTGCTAGAATACCAGTTTTCAGGCCAACGACCATTTTGCTATTGCGCATGCGGAATACACAAACTAAATGCACGCACAGTCTATGGGGACCGAACATACGTGTAGGGGACATGTCGAAACTTTCATTTATAAAAGCTAGTTTCTTCCAGACGAATCTCATAGTGTTTGTACACAGGATGTCAGGTGATGTACGGGCATGCGACTCTTCAGAGTGATATCAAAGTCATGGAGTTTGGTATAGCAGCTCAAGAATGTAATCATAGACGTAACTCCCCCCCCCACACACACTTTTTACCAGGGATGGACTATTGAACCACAGTCCCCCCTTTCACTTTCCCGTGTTGAGGAGAAAAAAAATTAAGGCCTATCGTGAAGTGTCGGCTAAAGGCATGACCCAGCTTCTGGCATGCCTGCATGATTGGAAGGGTGACGATTAGGGAAAGGTTAGGCGTGAATCACTCCACCCCATTTATTTTAGAGCTGTGAGGTAAAACAACCCCAAACATGAACCCGTAAAAAGAATCCTCAAACACTATTTTTGTTTCGCCTTTACGTGTAATTTAAATTTAACTCCAACATCCAATTCCACTAAAACTTAGAGATGTACAACACACTTAATGTTTACAATCAAATACATTCAGAATCGAAAGTTAAAGAAAATGAGGAATTTTTAGCGTCGTTAGTACTTCGCGTTTAAGCATCTTGACTCAAGGAACTGGATAAAGCGTTCACAAATGTACAATTTTTGTAAGTAAAAATATGTGCAAGATAATTCCTTGCTTGCTTTCAGTGTAAGTTTGCCTCTCGATAATTAGAATATTTTACATGCATTTCCCCACACATATCACACCCAAAGCTAAACTAAAGAAAACATTACATTCTGCAGAGGAAAAATAAATATGCATTAAAAAAGAATACTCGGCAATTTAATGGATAAAAGTACTTAAAATGTTCAATGATTAAGTAGTGTTCATTTCTTCTTTTTACCACCGTCTTTCACTGTGGCCTTTCCAGTTGCCTTAGCTGGCTTTGCGGTCTTCGTCGTGTTCTTGGCAGCCGCCTCAGCAGCCGGGGATTTCTTGACTTGTTTCTTGCCTACCGGTGATTTCTTGGTCTTGGCTGCCGGCTTGATCAAGGCGGGGGAGGTCGTCTTTTTCTTGCCGCCAGCCATTGCCTTCGACTTGGGCTTGATGAGCTTGGGCGTGCGAAGCGGCGAGTGCGACTTGCTCAACCGGCTGCGGACCTTCTTGGACTTGCTGACTCGCGGCGTGGCGCTGACGGAGCGAGCACGGGCGCGGGGAACAGGCCTGGCCTTCTTTCCCTTGGGCGATGTCGAGCGGCTGCGACGCTCCCCGTCGGTACTTTGGGTCCCAGCTTTCTTCAGCGGCTTTGTTTTGGCAGTGGCCTTCCTGGCACCTTTGGGAGCTGGCTTGGGCTTGGCCAGTCTGTAGTAGCCCGTGAGTAGCGGCTTGCCTTCGTCCTCCTTCTTCGGTCTCTCGATGACCTGACGCCCCAGGCCGTTCTCGAGGGCTTTCTTCAGCAGGCCTCTCTGGGTGGACTTGGTGTCTTTGTAGTTGGCGTCGATCCAAGTCTTGATGGCCTTGACACTGGTTCCCTTGCGGGGGTTGTCATCGCAGCTCCGTATAGCCTCCACAACTTTGTTGAGGGTCGTGGGTCGAGAGGTGGTCGCTTTGGCTCTCTTTGGGACTGTAGCAATGCCGCCGTCCTTTCCATTCAACGCGTTTTCGGTCACGGTAGAGTCCGCCATTGCTTGTTTTTCCCCGGTTTTACGTTTCAGAAAAATTTCTTGCAAGACCCAGGTGTTACCAGCACAATGGAATGAATGCTAAATCAGTGTACAGCATGCAGCACACAGCACAAGGCGAATGCGGAAGACGCGTTTGTGGCAGACGACACAGGGAGAATTTAAAAGCTGACGTCATAGCACGCCACATTTATAGCCTGTCTCCGGACGCCCGGGAAATCGACATGAATAATTCATCACCAGCCCTTCACAAGGAGAATGCCTGTAAAATCTGTCCTTTCGTTGCAAATTTAAGGGACATATTCACACTTTCAGCAAAAATTTCTGTCACCCTATGTCCAGGAACAGATACATAATAAATATGTGCAGACCCTCAGAACCCAAATTTAGTTTTGGTTGACGACAAAAGGAGAAAAGCGACTGAAACCTTTTTCCTCGGATGTTCATTCATTGCAAATTCATATTTTTTTTCTTTGCCTGACATTTTATTAGTGTGTATTTTGGAAACACAGAATAGAATAATGAAAACTATATGAGCCTGAATGCTTTGGACGTACAAAGTATAGAACTTAAACAATGAATATCGTTTCACGTTGCTTGTTACAAACATCTCTGGCAGAAACCAGCTTTGCATTTTTTTCGTGCTTATATATTTTTCGTACTTCAATTTATATCCCCAAACGGTATTCATACAACGAAAAACTCTGAATCAAAACTTTAGCTGATCTTTAAAAAAAATATATATTAAAAGAAAAAGAATATTGCAGACGAAGTAAAAAGCCCCAACTACACGGTGCAATCATTCAGTATCCTTGCAAGCTTGACCAAGGTGATTTCTTTCATCTTACTCTTCCTTTGTCTCTCTGTATCTTTTTCTTTTGTTTGGTGCATTCAAAATCGGTATTTAAAATTTATCAATGGTTTGCAGTGCCCAATTTGAAGCGTCTGGAACGAAAAGTGGGCATGATCATTACTCCAATCATCAACAGGGCTGAATAACAATCGAAAATAACATTTTTCAACTGTTCCGAAACTATGAAGTTACATAAATATAGGTTATTGTAAATTTTTATTTCTTATTTTCTATTTTGAAAAAGTTTGGTTTAGTTTTGAACACTGCAAAAAAGCAAAGTTTGACATTTTTTTCGCCCTCCTGGATTGAAAATCTTCGATTAACAGAGTGACGTTACTGTACAATAAAACTTTACAAGATTACCAAAATTCAATTTTTCAAAATCAGACGCCTTCATAGCAGGTGTTTGTGACAACGGAGATGTCACTTGTAGATGCTTTGCTTTTCAGATTATGAAATAGACAACGGAGTTTTTACTTTCTTATTTAATTTTTTGTACACGTGTGTTGGTAATTTGCCTTATGGAAACAAAATGGAATTCAGCATGTTGCCATTTTTCTTAATTTCCAGTTTTCTCTCGAGCTGAATCAATATTGTAGTGGCAATGCTGGTAAAAATACAAGTATGGACATTTTACAGTTGGGAATATTCGTACGAAGTCAGAAACAACGTTCGGCTCTCCAACCAGTCTCCTTGTCTATTAAACCCCGCGGCCGGCCACTGGGCTGATATGAAAGCACAACTTTTTTGTGTGTGTGATGAAAAGATAAACAAATGAATGTTGACTACAAGTAGTCCTCATTTAACACATCTATAGAAGTTCACGTGACACAGCATGATAAGCAAAAATATTTCGGGAAGCATACCGTGTCGGTGGAGGCGCGTGCATTTTCGAATCTGTGTAGTTCTATTGGCGATTTCATATACGCCAGAATCTTGAGGTTATGGTGTACTATTTATGACACACATTTCTGTCTCTTTCTATCCTCTTCCAAGGTGACACAACCACACGACGCGACGGCGTGACGGCTCCTTGCGTTGTGCCGTCGCTTTCTTGTCACTACCTCGCGTCGTGCCATCGCCCGTCGTGTCGTGCTGGCTTACGTCCTCTCCTTGTAGCATTTGCTTCTGCCTAAATGTAAATGTCGCTCCTTCCGTTGCCCGTCGCGTCGCACCATCGTGCATCACGTTGTATGTCGTGTCGTGCGCCGCGCCGCCTATTATGTCGCCTGAAGCACGACACGACGCACGACACAACGCGTCGTGTGCTGTCGCCCTTTGCTTCAATGTGTTTATAGAGGGCGCGATCACTATATTCTTTCATTTCCGCCCCCCTGCGAGCAAAGTACATGCTGTAGGTAGCAGGCCTTGATTCTGTTGTTGTTCCTTTTATGCGGTTTTTTTTCATAAGAAACAATGGCTAGGGCCTAAAAACAATGGCTACATGCACTCCTTGGCGTGCACAAGGGTTTATCCACTCCGAGCACAGGGCGAAGGTCCCGCGATATTCTCTGTTTTCTCCGAATGACGCAATCTACATTCAGAATTCACATCTTGGCATTAACAGAAAAAAAGCCCTTTTTAACCTTGTTATAATTGAGCTCTGAAGACAAATGACTCTACATTCGACTCAACTATGACTGGCCATAAGTACAAAATTAAAAGAATAATTAATTCAAAGGGTGTTAAATTAACAGAATCTCGAAGAGCTATAAGCCAGTTCGTAATTACCACATGTATGCTGTACCGAAGGTAAGGCAAGGCTCATTTATACATCACAGTGAAATAAATCGCTTCACCGTGCGTCCTGAGCAGGTGCCTTTCTTTGACATTCGTTTGTGTAGCGAATGCAAAGTGCACGATTCTTCTAGAGCTTTGATTTTGATCAATTATTTTTAAGTTTGGTAAAATTTTTACCATAGATAGATGTGAGCAAGATCTTTTAATTGATGAAATTCGTCTGTTGACCGTGGCCCAATCGAAAGATAGGATTCCACATATGCTGTACTTGGATTAATTAATCGACACTTAATCAACTTCAATTTGTATGAAAGATAGTTTAAACTGGCACGTATTGAAAATTTCCGTTTTCTTCCTTTTCAGTTTCATTATATCTTAAAGATACTGATTTCCATGAAGATGTCTTAGAGTGAGTTCCATGTGCGGATGTTACTTCCCTATTTCTTCCTCAGCATCTTCCTTATTTCAGCAAATTCTTAATTAAAGGACCGTATGATCAACAGCAACCCGTTTGCGACAAACAAGCTATACAAAAATCAATTCGTTTTGCGTTCAAATGACCTTTGCAAAAGTCCAGTCTTGCATGCGCAGTTCGTAATTACGAATTGGCTTATTCAAACATTATACAAGTAATGGATCCATACTACTTTATTTATATTTATTATTTTAATTTCATGTTCGTCAACTACAGGTGAGATTTCTGCTTACAGAATGATGGTCAATGTTACTTTTGAACAGAAAAGGGGTCTGTAGCGAAATGTAAATAGCCCCCTCTCTCGACGATGGATTGCAAGGGCACATCCAGATCTTCGACGGGGATGGAAATGTATTCTAAATATTCCATCGATGAAGAATGCCATTATCCCCAAAGTCAGGAAGTGGTGCAGTTTCTAATTTTTACAAACACGGCCTTTCAATTTCCAAATAAATAAAATAAAATAAATAAAATAAAGGAAAAAAAAAAAGTAAAAACCGGTAAGGTGGCGTTGGGGGATGTTACCGCTGGACTCCTCGCTGGATACGCCACGTGATGGATTGTAGCGTTTACAATTATAGAGAAACAACTGGGATGGTCGACCTGCCTTGGTTAATCAGAGTTACGTCGACCAAATTATTCCGTATATATGTAACTTCCGGGGCCTTCAGATCCGTGTCCTGATTTGTGACGTACATCACTGCCTGTCCGTTCCTCCGGGTTGTGTTTAGGTGAGACGAAATGGATTTCACATGTCCAGTATTTCAACACCATTGGTAGTCTACATGTACATTATGGGATAGCCCACGACTTGTGCACGAGTTTGGTCAGATATTTCACAAGTCGCAGTGCTCATGAATATTCAAATCTATGCTTTAGCCTATCCCTCTTTCCATTGTTCTCGACGGCACATTATTTTCTCGTAGGCCAAACGTTTAGGTTGAACATAAAAGACACAGTAAAACGATATGATTATTGAACATTTTAATATTAGTGTCGCATTTTTCGTTTCGAAAAGAAATACAGTGAGGCTGAAATTATCTGAAAAAATTGTAATTGATTATATAGTCTGTTTGATGAAAAAATACAGTAACGGAGTTCATAAAGAAAAGACAAATAATTATGAGAAAATGACGGCAATATTTGATAGGAATGAAGCAATAGAAACATCTGCTCATTGACCCTAACCCCAAGGGCGTATGTAGAATCAGACTGAAGTTGGAGGCTACGGGATTGTTAGGGTTAACTATATTATTATAATATTAAACAGGGCCCAGCTATATGACATTGATGGGGGGGGGGAGAACAGGAAAGCGATATTGAACACAAGATTGGATTGTCAGCGAAAAAGTGTCAGATGGTCATCTGAGCCAGCTGGCCTTGGTTGAGTTCCTGAGAACGTGAGAGCTGGTGGTAATGCATTTGCACGTGGACCTTTTCAATAATTGATCTTTCTTTGAAATGGGGTGAAGCTTTTATTAGAAGTTATAGCTAAGTCATTGGTTTACTTTGTCGTTGTCGTATTATCATTGGTCAACAAAATTTATCAGTAATTAAGAACAGGAAGGTAAAGTTTTACATTATCAAACTTGGTCAACGGTATTCAGTGACCCAGTTCAGGTAATAGAGTTTCATGGTATAAGAACAGAAAAAAAGTTTGACGAGAAGTTGAGTTGGAATCATGGGAAAGGAGTATTTGCATCTGAGGAATCAGACTAGTATAGCATGCTTCAAGTCGGTGAAGTATTTTCATGTGAGCAAAATGCGTATCCTTGTGAAGTATTTTGCTGCAGCGAAATACGCGTTATCAAAAAGGGGGATTTTCCTCGCTAGCTCCCTGTATGACTGTAAAAAAACATGAGGCGGAGTTGTAGAAATAGACACTTTCGATTACGTATTCTGTACCAACTTCCGTTTGTCATCGTCAACATGTTCTAGAGGGTCAGCGTTGATAATGCTGCTCCTGCCAACGCGGTCAGCTCCATGAGCCTCTGGCTGGACCAAGAGAGGGCGCGATTTTCTTAGCAACGGAGGCTCATTTGGTCGGAACTGAACTTCGGCGGTTCACGAACGGCTACGAAATGTA